ATTTCACAGAGAGGGTAAAAACTGTGAATAACAGCTTTATTTCACAGAGTGTGAGAACTTTGTGAATAACAGCTTTATTTCACACTTTGTGAATAACAGCTTTATTTCACAGAATGGAGTGAGAGCTTTGTGAATAACAGCTTTATCTCACAGAATGGAGTGAGAGCTTTGTGAATAACAGCTTTATCTCACAGAATGGAGTGAGAACTTTGTGAATAACAGCTTTATTTCACAGAATGGAGTGAGAACTTTGTGAATAACAGCTTTATTTCACAGAATGGAGTGAGAACTTTGTGAATAACAGCTTTATTTCACAGAATGGAGTGAGAACTTTGTGAATAACAGCTTTATTTCACAGAGAGTGTGAGAACTTTGTGAATAACAGCTTTATTTCACAGAATGGAGTGAGAACTTTGTGAATAACAGCTTTATTTCACAGAATGGAGTGAGAACTTTGTGAATAACAGCTTTATTTCACAGAGAGTGTGAGAACTTTGTGAATAACAGCTTTATTTCACAGAATGGAGTGAGAGCTTTGTGAATAACAACTTTATTTCACAGAATGGAGTGAGAACTTTGTGAATAACAGCTTTATTTCACAGAATGGAGTGAGAACTTTGTGAATAACAGCTTTATTTCACAGAGAGGGTAAAAACTGTGAATAACAGATCTTTGTTAATAACAGCTTTATTTCACAGAGAGTGTGAGAACTTTGTGAATAACAGCTTTATTTCACAGAGAGAGAGTGTGAGAACTTTGTGAATAACAGCTTTATTTCACAGAATGGAGTGAGAACTTTGTGAATAACAGCTTTATTTCACAGAGAGTGTGAGAACTTTGTGAATAACAGCTTTATTTCACAGAATGGAGTGAGAACTTTGTGAATAACAGCTTTATTTCACAGAATGGAGTGAGAGCTTTGTGAATAACAGCTTTATTTCACAGAGAGTGTGAGAACTTTGTGAATAACAGCTTTATTTCACAGAGAGTGTGAGAACTTTGTGAATAACAGCGTGAGAACTTTGTGAATAACAGCTTTAACTTTGTGAATAACAGCTTTATTTCACAGAATGGAGTGAGAACTTTGTGAATAACAGCTTTATTTCACAGAGAGTGTGAGAACTTTGTGAATAACAGCTTTATTTCACAGAGAGTGGGATGAGAACTTTGTGAATAACAGCTTTATTTCACAGAATGGAGTGAGAACTTTGTGAATAACAGCTTTATTTCACAGAATGGAGTGAGAACTTTGTGAATAACAGCTTTATTTCACAGAATGGAGTGAGAACTTTGTGAATAACAGCTTTATTTCACAGAGAGTGTGAGAACTTTGTGAATAACAGCTTTATTTCACAGAGAGTGTGAAAACTTTGTGAATAACAGCTTTATTTCACAGAGAGTGGGATGAAAACTTTGTGAATAACAGCTTTATTTCACAGAATGGAGTGAGAGCTTTGTGAATAACAGCTTTATTTCACAGAATGGAGTGAGAACTTTGTGAATAACAGCTTTATTTCACAGAGAGTGTGAGAACTTTGTGAATAACAGCTTTATTTCACAGAATGGAGTGAGAACTTTGTGAATAACAGCTTTATTTCACAGAATGGAGTGAGAACTTTGTGAATAACAGCTTTATTTCACAGAATGGAGTGAGAACTTTGTGAATAACAGCTTTATTTCACAGAATGGAGTGAGAACTTTGTGAATAACAGCTTTATTTCACAGAATGGAGTGAGAACTTTGTGAATAACAGCTTTATTTCACACACTTTGTGAGCTTTATTTCACAGAATGGAGTGAGAACTTTGTGAATAACAGCTTTATTTCACAGAATGGAGTGAGAACTTTGTGAATAACAGCTTTATTTCACAGAATGGAGTGAGAACTTTGTGAATAACAGCTTTATTTCACAGAGAGTGTTAGAACTTTGTGAATAACAGCTTTATTTCACAGAGAGTGTGAGAACTTTGTGAATAACAGCTTTATTTCACAGAGAGTGTGAGAACTTTGTGAATAACAGCTTTATTTCACAGAATGGAGTGAGAACTTTGTGAATAACAGCTTTATTTCACAGAATGGAGTGAGAACTTTGTGAATAACAGCTTTATTTCACAGAATGGAGTGAGAACTTTGTGAATAACAGCTTTATTTGTGAATAACAGCTTTATTTCACAGAGAGTGTGAGAACTTTGTGAATAACAGCTTTATTTCACAGAATGGAGTGAGAACTTTGTGAATAACAGCTTTATTTCACAGAATGGAGTGAGAACTTTGTGAATAACAGCTTTATTTCACAGAATGGAGTGAGAACTTTGTGAATAACAGCTTTATTTCACAGAATGGAGTGAGAACTTTGTGAATAACAGCTTTATTTCACAGAATGGAGTGAGAACTTTGTGAATAACAGCTTTATTTCACAGAATGGAGTGAGAACTTTGTGAATATCAGCTTTATTTCACAGAATGGAGTGAGAACTTTGTGAATAACAGCTTTATTTCACAGAATGGAGTGAGAACTTTGTGAATAACAGCTTTATTTCACAGAGCTTTATTTCACATGGAGTGAGAACTTTGTGAATAACAGCTTTATTTCACAGAAGTGAGACTTTGTGAATAACAGCTTTATTTCACAGAGAGTGTGAGAACTTTGTGAATAACAGCTTTATTTCACAGAGAGTGTGAGAACTTTGTGAATAACAGCTTTATTTCACAGAATGGAGTGAGAGCTTTGTGAATAAAACCTAACATAAACCGACTGAAATACAAAAAAGTTAATAACAGCTTTATTTCACAGAGAGTGTGAGAACTTTGTGAATAACAGCTTTATTTCACAGAGAGTGTGAGAACTTTGTGAATAACAGCTTTATTTCACAGAGAGTGTGAGAACTTTGTGAATAACAGCTATATTTCACAGAATGGAGTGAGAACTTTGTGAATAACAGCTTTATTTCACAGAATGGAGTGAGAACCCTGTGAATAACAGCTATATTTCACAGAATGGAGTGAGAACCCTGTGAATAACAGCTATATTTCACAGAGAGTGTGAGAACTTTGTGAATAACAGCTTTATTTCACAGAGAGTGTGAGAACTTTGTGAATAACAGCTTTATTTCACAGAGAGTGTGAGAACTTTGTGAATAACAGCTTTATTTCACAGAATGGAGTGAGAACCCTGTGAATAACAGCTATATTTCACAGAATGGAGTGAGAACTTTGTGAATAACAGCTTTATTTCACAGAATGGAGTGAGAACTTTGTGAATAACAGCTATATTTCACAGAGAGTGTGAGAACTTTGTGAATAACAGCTTTATTTCACAGAGAGTGTGAGAACTTTGTGAGTAATAGTTATTCTTTATAGAGTGTGAGAACTTTGTGAATAACAGCTTTATTTCTCAGAGTAGTATGAGAACTTTGTGATTAACAACTTTATTTCACAGAGTGGGATGCGAACTTCGTGAATAACAGCTATATTTCACAGAGTGGAGGTTAGAGCTTCGTGAATAACATGTATATTTCACAGAGTGGGATGCGAACTTCGTGAATAACAGCTATATTTCACAGAGTGGGGGTTAGAACTTCGTGAATAACATGTATATTTCACAGAGTGGAGTGAGAAATTCGTGAATATCATGTATATTTCACAGAGTGGAGTGAGAACTTCGTGAATATCATCTTTATTCAATCGATTGGGTCGAGACTTGATATTTCTCACGAATGCGCAATCAAGAAACAATGAATATAATCTGTAAGTTTACTTGTACTGATCCTGGTACACAATGTAGTTTCTTTTTTCTAATTTATTTCGAAAGTGAGTTATTGTCGCAATTGCATTTTATCTTAGACGACAGCGAAATAAAAAAAACACAACTCTGACAGTAAGATTTGGAAAAACTGCCGAACTGGAAACCCTCCGCAATAAAATATATCCTGTTTAATATCGATCTGTAGAATTTTGTCTCTGACATTGGAATAATTGTCAAGGAGTAAAATAAGGACATTGGTATAGACAATCCTGCTAATATTATGTGTGAAGACAACAATAGGCGCATTTCTCACTGCCACTCATTAGCTCGATCATCTGACAGATAGGCACCCACGTTCAAACGGAATATTTTTAATTGATCTATATACGGTCACACTTATCAAAAGTAGCTCTTCATACGTCTGAAGTGTGGTTAACGATACTCTGGCTTGTTATTGTGGAGTTGAAAAAACTTGGGATCAGGTGACCCCAAGATAATACCAGTTGTTCATTAGATATTGTTAAGTATGTTATTGTTCTACGTACTATTAACATTCAAAGTCATTTACGGACGTGCCAAGTTTGGGAGGAGATGGAAGAAAGCCACAATTAGAGGTTAAAGGGTACACAAGAAAGGCATCTGTGTAGTAATCATGAATATAAAGCTGTTGTTGTATATTGCTGTTCAGCTAATGGGACATATTTGTGTTCATATGTTATGTTTATGTACAGCTGGTGGTGTTTGTGTGATGTTCAACTGATTGATGGTGTTTGTGTGATGTTCAGATGATGGTGTGTGCTAGAGCTCAGCAAGTGCTGGTGGTGTTTGTGTGATGTTCAGATGATGGTGTATGCTAGAGCTCAGCAAGTGCTGGTGGTGTTTGTGTGATGTTCAGCTGATGGTGTGTCTTTTAGTTCAGCTGGTGGTGTTTGTGTGATGTTCAGCTGATTGATGGTGTTTGTGTGATGTTCAGCTGATCGTGTGTGTTTTTATGCTCAACTGGTGGTATATTTTGTGTTCAGTTGTCTGTGTGTGTTTGATGTTCACCAAGTGGTATTTTTTGTGCTACTCGTGAGTCAGGTTAGCCAGTTGAACTATGGTATTTTCCAAGGATCTACAATATTCAAATATTCAACATTGACTTAAGATGTTTTCCTATTCAAATATGACTTTAAAGAATATGTGTTTTCTATGACAGGATGATGTAAAATGAAAATGAATACTGGACTGCTACTTAAGCTAATTAAATCAATTTACCTGTAATTGCCACCATCCACACCATCACGTACGATAATCCCACTATCCAGACGATAGAAAGGATAAAGGTGAGAGGATACATTTTTCGCCAGTGACCCCACGGTTTCCTGCAGTCGGGTATAGTGATGTAAAAGAGCACTTTCATAGGCAACATAGCAATCCAAAACGAGCGCCCAACCAACGCATTTGGTATGACCCAAGGCGATTCATAATTATCCCCTGAAGACAGAGAGGTCATTAGCAAAATTAAATTTACAATTACAAAGATTTCTCAAAAGGACAGTAGAATTATGTTATTTCTATTACCGAAAATAGCTTTAATATAAAAGAAATTGTGTTAATGGAATCAAATCTAAATTATTTCATGTAAAATATCGCTTTTTGCAATATATATATATATACATATATATCTATTTACCTTCTGTTTCAGTTTCACCCGAATCTGTTTGAGAATTTGTGAACGATGTTTCTGCATCAGTTTCCTTCTTAGCTATTTCGTCATTTCCGGTCGATTTTTCTAATTCCTGTGCTTTTTGTGCTGCAAGTAAGCCTTGTTTGTTGTTGTCGGTATCATATCTTAGTTTGTTTGATCTCAGACGAGCTAGACCCCTCTCAGCCAATGCGTGAATGGGCTTGTTAAAGTACATCACCACTATGTACATTACATACATTAGGAAGAGAATCATTCCTTCGTACCTACAGTACAACATAAAGCTTATAATGCAGCATACAGTTATTGTATTAAGGTTCGTCTTATTTTTATAATTCTGATATACTTTAACATTTCCATTCTTTATCTCTTGTTTTTCCTGAGATGTTTTGTTGGTTTTTATTTACATATTTTTTTTATTATTTTCTTTGCAATTACAAAATTCCTACAAGTAGAATATGAACTAAATATGTATATATATATATATATTACTATTTCACCCTGAAATGATACAAAATTCAATTCCATAAAATCTTATTATATCATAGTATCATCGCTCAGTATTATATTTTGTATCAGATAACGATATCGGCTCAGTATTATATTTTGTATCAGAAGACGATATCGGATCAGTATTATATTTTGTATCAGATGACGATATCCAATCTGTTATATTTTGTATCAGATGACGATATCAGCTCAGTATTATATTTTGTATCAGATGACGATATCCACTCTGTTATATTTTGTATCAGAAGACGATATCAGCTCAGTATTATATTTTGTATCAGATGACGATATCCACTCAGTATTATATTTAATATCCTAGAAATAACAAATCATCGTAGCATCTGTATAAATGAAATTGTACGTTTCTACATATTAACCAAATTGCGAATTTAACCCTAAAGGATTTGGTTTTTTATATGGAAAACGTGCAAAGTTAAAGTCTGTGCATGGATTGGATACATTGTTTACAGTGGTATTGTAACAGAATACCTCCCTGTAGTTCCCACATGGCACCATGTTAACCCCGTCTCTAACGGCCTATGAATCCGACTCTTTATCACCACTAATCAATACGATGCCGCGAACCACTACCTTTTAGATTTTCACTAATTTATTTACTACTGATTTAGCTAGCTAGAAAATGAAGTAGATTCCTTAGTATGAGGTGAATCAACGTTGAATAAATTATAAGATTGACCAAGGATTTTATTGCAGGTGTCATCGATGAAGCAGATGACGCTTACTCTTCCAAAACACCTGGTCTAATTATCCTTTTACTTTTACAGGAGTCTCCGTGTAATGTTCATTGTAAGTGAGAAACATTCAAATAGTAAGCTGATTAGCTTAGAGCAAAGACGTACCATTCCACATTATTGTCCTGGATAACAATGACCAACGCCACAACGGAGAAGAGATAAAAGACACAGTCCCGGAACATCGGCCACCATGTAAGCTCCACTACCTGTTCACAGTATTGCAAAATTATAAGTTTTTATTTCTTTCGGTTACAAATAAGATTACATAAACAAGCAAGTCTGATTTGAAAAGTTGAAAAGTAACTTACAGATACATGATGTTTCTTCTGAAGGCTTCTGATCATATTTTGGGGTTTTATTATTAAAAAAATCCGGTTAAACTATGTTGTTCACTGGTGTTGTTATATAAAGTGAATCAATGGCGGCGACTAACATACCAACTAAGCATTCTTGAACATCATATTTTCTAATTATATAACAATGAATATATCTTTAATGTCATGCTGAGTTGAAAGTTACATCTGTAGTGGTACACTGAAGACTTCCTCATCAGTTATATAAAACAATAATCTATCCCTTATATGGTCAGATGATTTAGTCGTTTCACAATATCAGTATTTATATCATGGGGTCAGAATACTAAATCTCAAAAACAATATGTTGTTTAATTTTCAATATTTCATAAGTTGATCTTTAATATTTTGCCTATTGTTGCGTAAACATTCACCTTAGATAAATAATGCTTGGTAAGTTTGCTACAAATGTATCTATTTTCCATGGGATTCTCGAATATTATTTCACTTCATGTTTCAGGATTTGATTATATCATCAAAGCAATTGGAAACTAGAAGCATTAAATCACACGTTAAATTTCTCTAACATACACTCGGCGTAGACGTTAATAATTACATACAAAAGAGGAACAGTAGGGATGCGTAGCTATCATTTCAACTCCTACACCTCCTTAGGATCTAAAAACCTGGCCTCACTTGTATAAAACATCTCAACTTGAGATTTCCTCAAGTCGAGATTTTCCTCAGCTGGTATCTCCTAGAAAATATCTTGTATGAAAATTCCTCAAGGAATTTCAGGACATCCTAGCCGATGACTTCCTCCTGTCCCTTGAGAAAATTTTATACAAGCCGTTTTTGAGGAGATATCAGCTGAGGAAAATCTCGACTTGAGGAAATCTCAAGTTGAGATGTTTTATACAAGTGGGGCCAGGAATACTTTAGATGAGGGGCATTGAACTGTTGTTTCCAAAAAATATTCTTATTTAATTTTGACACTGGTAATGTGCTAGCTGAGAATCGCCTAGGTAGAATTTCTCTTTAGTTCTAAGCACGTGACTAGTACATCAAAGGCATAAGGGTTGATTCCTAACGTTGAAAAATAATAACATCTCCTACCTGTGTCAATCATACGATTTAAACAAAATAGGTTATTGTGTGATGCCGATAAATGTGTGGCTTGAGAAGACATACACTCCGCTCATTCATGCCGACTATAAGTTTATTAGTGAAAAGAAATGTCGCTAGACTTTAGAGCTTTGTATCCATGATTGTAACGGTATAACCTGTGTTTTCGCATCATACTCAATAAATACGGCATTTCAGTCCCAGTTAGAACACTCACTTGTCCCATACATCGCAATTCATCTAGTGTGTCTCAAGCGTACGGGTAAGGTCCACAAGGATGGCCGAGAAGATTGATGTACCGAATGAACTCCCAGTTCCATTAAAAGTTAGTTCTATGAATATATCAAACAGGACCAACAACAGACCATGAGCTGACAAGCCATGGGTAGTTTATATACCTTATAGCTAACTCACCTTCGGTAAAACACTGTTGCGACTTTGTTTACAAACTGATTTCCTTACAAAATGTCTACATGTAAGTATTACCCATGTAGTGTGGTGACTTGGTTCTTGTTAGATGGGAGAAAATAAAAAGTGGCATATTAACACCATTACGTAAAAAAAGAAAAAAATTACTTTGATCAGATAAGCGAAACTAAGTAAATATCAATGTATTATTTGTATACCAGAACAGATGTGTGTTTCGAAAGCTTTCAACAGAAAGGACAGAGAGTTACTACAAATGATTTTATCTCTGGTGCTGCCTATTATTGGAATCATCTAAGAGCAAAGGACTAATAAGAAATCAAAATTTCAAGATAGAGTAAGATTTTCTTCAGAAATTTAAGTTAAACACTTCATTTGAATGACAGCTATACGTTCCGATCTGATGAACGATTTAGATAAAACGCATGTGTTTTCATTTCAAATCTCATTCAAGATTGAAAATCATGAAGGAGACTTAATTTGGAGTTTATTACACCTGCTTTTATCTTTCTTTTTTAAATGATTTTTTTTTCGGCCAATGTTGATTTTTCTCAGTCGCCTCCTAGGTTTTCACCAACTGAGGCACTAAAAATTGCCAACAGACTGACGTCTGTCTGTGAGACAACATTTAGAGATAGGACAAGTCAAAGTTGCGGAAAACCTGTTACCAACCAACCAACTAGTGAAGGCGGCACGTTGCTAGAACACTGGTGTTCATCGGTGAGACAACGTCTGGAGATTGGACAAGTCAAAGCGCGGAAGACCTGTAAACAAACCAACCAAACACCTAGGCACTTAGCACCACTGACGGGCCCTAGAAGGGACGAAATAGCACCACTGAGGGGCCCTAGAAGAGACGAAATAGCACCACTGACGGGCCCTAGAAGAGACGAAATAGCACCACTGACGGGCCCTAGAAGGGACGAAATAGCTGTATGATGCAGTTTGATTCATTATTTCGCTCTGCTGTCTCTAACTCTAAATGTGTATGATAACGTGCTTTTAAGTTTTAAGTCCTTTGTACAATGCTACCGACTTTAGATTGTGAGAAACAAACCAAAGAGACTCAGACAACAGAAGCATAACTTCCTTTTCCAGATAACATTTTCTGTAATTGTGTAATATGTTATTTCCCGTGTTTAATTCACCGGTATTGGTCGTTGTGGTTTTGTTTATTTGTATTAGAAAAATAGTTTATCAGAAGAAGTGAATTCGTTTTCGGTAAATATGGATTTCTTTATGTGATGATGTTAAGTTTTTAATCTATTTCAAATATCAAACTATCGTAAGCTGTAGTAGTTTATCATTAAATGTTGAAATATTTAATCAAGCTGGAAATTGCTAATCGTTATTTAGTTTAGATAAACGTAGGCTGGAAATTGACTTTTACCTTATTTTCGAACAATTAATCAGTACATTGTGTTAAATCGTTGGCAATTATATATCAGTTAAGCAAAAAACTACAGAACAATGTTAAAATGAAATATCGTTGAAGGGTCGTAGATGCAAGAAATATATGATCCTCTCGTGCACAGAACGTTCATCACGTTTTATTTTTTTTTTTTTTTGGAGAAATTATTACGAAACATTTATAGTAGCATTTGCACATTTGGCTGCATTTTTCCAATCCTCCTTATAGACAACAGAGAATTTACGAGAAACATCAAACTGTTGCTCTGCGTATTTCACGCCTTCGTGGTCTCAGTCTCAACCATCAGGCAGAGATAAAGTTGTGTTTTTTGTTTGTGAATATTTCCTATGACATAAATCGTGATATTTACACTTACCATTCCAGCAAATATTGCACACACGCCGATTATAAAAAGGATATTGAAGACGGCCGATCCAACGATAGTTCCAACGCCCACGTCACTCTCGGCAATAAAAACTCCTAAAAATAGGATTGATTTTTTTCTACTGTTTTCATTTTCAAGATGTGTTATATTTGTGAATAAAGTTCAGAAAATTAACGAACGAGATTAGCGCTTGATAAGATATTTTATATTAACGACATCGAGTTTTATGACTTTAACTTCTTTACTTGACTTAAATCTGATAGCATACCACTGAATATCATTGCCGGAACCATTTACTGCCAATGTATAGTTCTTATCTATAAAGATGGACGTATGGTTGTTTGTTCTTTGATTAACGAATGCTACATAATGTTAACAAGTGATAATATCAAGCAATCTCTTATTCCTTTACTTTGTATGTGACTTGCTGAAGTCTGACAATTAGGATTGTCGCATGAGGTTTATCACACTAATTGTGAAGTTTCATTTTAAACAATGTTATTATTTCATACCTACCAATGAGTGACGTACACAGTTCGGGAGCAGAACTTCCTGCTGCCATAAACGTGGCTCCTGCGACATCTTCGCTTAATTTTAATTCTTTGGAAAAGAAAAAAATAATAATCGTCAATATTTATGTGTCGTTATGCTAACATTATCTATCAGGTTACTAATCTGTGTATAGCTTTAAACTATAGCACAGCTATACAATATAAATCTAAGCTTAATAGACCTGAAGACTTATATTGCAGGGATGATCACTAAATGAGAAGGATTAGCGGTACAGCACGTTCTCAATTCGACTGGCCAATTTATAGAAGGATTTAGTTATTCTGATAGCCACCCAGTTTGAGAAAGATATTTGGCACGTATTAATGAAACGGCTTCAAGGTAAACTGCATTTACAGCAATAGATTAACATAATTTCACATATTCCATCTCCTTCCTTATTGTAATATCATCTTTTTCACATTCATGGAATGACTAGTGATAACTGAAGTCATTGATCTGACTTATCCGTATCCAATCATGCATTTCACTATCTCAAGACCAGACTTAATACGTTGCCACCATAACCTAAAGGTCGCAATCACCAGTTTCGATTTCATTTTGCCGTTATATCATTAAACGTTTCTAGCCTCTGCGTTATCAGTTTTTTTTTCAGTTGTCATGGCGACTAAAAATATACAATCGCCATCAGCAGCTGACTCTTACATGTGAAGAGTTCCAGGTTTTGTTTTTGATAATTGCAGCTACAAAATGTTTCTTTTCATGTATACTTCCTTGTTTCCCCTTTGAGAACACGACATTTTACTTCGATTGACATCGACTTGCCCGGCTGTATTGTTGATGAAGCAGTGAACGCTTACCCGTCTGGAACACCTGATCTTATTCTTCTTGTACATGATTCGGTTATCTCTTTTGTTCATAGTTCGTTCTTATTGATGTTGAGTTTGAGTTTTTACGATATTAATAACGAAATGTGAATTGAAATTGAAGTAGCGGCCTCTTATCTCTAAATCGTTTTAAAATGAAAAATGATATTGCGCTGATTTATACTGCTATTCGTGGACATTAGACGTGCTGACAGGGTCACGTCTTATCTCCTTTATCCAAGTGGTATTCATAAAGCCCATGGATGCCACCTGAAGGCAGATCAATTCTTAAATGAACATAGAGAAATAAACTTACCATCGCAAATTATTTCCAATGATGCTACAAAATAGTCATCACAGACGATAGCAATGGCTCCGAATGTGTACACGACGAGTAACACGTGGATGAGGAAGCCACCTTCTTGTGTTTCCTTCAAGGACATAAAATTTCCAGGAAATTCATCCACAGATCGTGCGATACAATCCTTATCAGAGTTGTTTCCATCTGCAAAATTCAAGGCTTCAATCAAGTTTAAATCATACATTGTTTGACTCTACTGAATCTTAATCTTAATGATCAATAGGTGTTATTCACTTGTGAGTTTTCGTACAATCTTTAAGATAGCACATTATACTACACTTTTAATTACCTTTGTGATAAACTCCAGTCATGTCACACGGACCTACTGCAACACATATAACAATTTTACTACAGATGTTTATGTTGTGGAAGTCTTATTTAGATTATTTTGAATAATTTTGGAGGTGTAATGTTAATTACTTACTGGTGAAAAGATGTATTTATAATGATATCGTTGATGTAATGTTAATTACTTACTGGTGAATAGATTGATTTTATGTTAATTACTTACTGGTGAATAGATTTATTTAGAATGATGCCGGTGGGTGTTATTTATGTTAATTACTTACTGGTGAATAGATTGATTTAGAATGATGTCAGGGGTGTAATGTTAATTACTTACTGGTGAATAGATTGATTTAGAATGATGTCAGGGGTGTAATGTTAATTACTTACTGGTGAATAGATTTATTTAGGATGATGTCAGGGGTGTAATGTTAATTTACTGGTGAATAGATTGATTTATAATGATATCGTTGATGTAATGTTAATTACTTACTGGTGAAAAGATGTATTTATAATGATATCGTTGATGTAATGTTAATTACTTACTGGTGAATAGATTTATTTAGGATGATGTCAGGGGTGTAATGTTAATTTACTGGTGAATAGATTGATTTAGAATGATGTCAGGGGTGTAATGTTAATTACTTACTGGTGAATAGATTTATTAGAATGATGCCGGTGGTGTAATGTTAATTACTTACTGGTGAATAGATTTATTTAGAATGAGTGTAATGTTAATTTATGGTGAATAGAATTTGATGTCAGGGGTGTAATGTTAATTACTTACTGGTGACTTACTGGTGAATAGATTGATTTAGAATGATGTCAGGGGTGTAATGTTAATTACTTACTGGTGAATAGATTTATTTTGAATGATGTCCGCATGTTATGTTTATTTACTGGTGAATAGATTGATTTAGAATGATGTCAGGGGTGTTATGTTAATTACTTACTGGTGAATGAATGATGTCAGGGGTGATGTTAATTTTACTGGTGAATAGATTGATTTAGAATGATGTCAGGGGTGTAATGTTAATTACTTACTGGTGAATAGATTTATTAGAATGATGCCGGTGGTGTAATGTTAATTACTTACTGGTGAATAGATTTATTTAGAATGATGCCGGTGGTGTTATGTTAATTTACTGGTGAATAGATTGATTTAGAATGATGTCAGGGGTGTTATGTTAATTTACTGGTAAATAGATTGATTTAGAATGATGCCGGTGGTGTAATGTTAATTACTTACTGGTGAATAGATTGATTTAGAATGATGTCAGGGGTGTTATGTTAATTACTTACTGGTGAATAGATTTATTTAGAATGATGTCAGGGGTGTTATGTTAATTTACTGGTGAATAGATTTATTTTGAATGATGTCGGTGGTGTAATGTTAATTACTTACTGGTGAATTGATTGATTTAGAATGATGTCAGGGGTGTTATGTTAATTTACTAGTGAATAGATTTATTTAGAATGATGTCAGTTAATTACTTACTCGTGACTGTGTTATGTTAATTTACTAGTGAATAGATTTATTTAGAATGATGTCAGGGGTGTTATGTTAATTTACTAGTGAATAGATTTATTTAGAATGATGTCAGGGTGTTATGTTAATTTACTGGTGAATATATCTATTTTGAATGATGTCAGGGGTGTTATGTTAATTTACTGGTGAATAGATTTATTTTGAATGATGCCAGTGGTGTTATGTTAATTACTTACTGGTGAATAGATTTATTTAGAATGATGTCAGGGGTGTAATGTTAATTACTTACTGGTGAATTGATTGATTTAGAATGATGTCAGGGGTGTTATGTTAATTTACTGGTAAATAGATTGATTTAGAATGATGTCCGGGTGTTATATTACTTACTTACTGGTGAATAGATTTATTTATAATGATATCGGTGGTGTAATGTTAATTACATTTAAAAGAATTATTCAATGGATATCATCATGTGAGATCTTAGTATTGTAGTTTTGGTTAAATAAGAATGTTTTTGTTTCCTTTGTAGACCTGGTACGTTTCATGCCTATAGGTAATGGGGTGGAGACTGGCCTTGCTTGCGACTTCCTAAAGACTTTATTATTAATGTAAATGTGAGTGTTAAGCGATAAAGAACAAATGTTTATGTGGATTTCTTACTTCATCACTTTAATACAGAATATATCCTAAAACGCTTGGTAATGTTACAGAAAGTGCAGCGTTTAAAAACTTTAATTTTTTTTTAAATTGAATTATTAAAAAAAAAAAAGAAGACCTACGACATATTATGTTTCAAATTGTAAAGGTTTAGATATAGAAATATGTCAACTGGTGTTCCGGCAGAAATATAATTCTGTATTATTCTAGAAATGTTTCTCTATTTCTCACCAACTGCATTTTCAAGGAAACTTTAATTTACGCCTGTTATCACCCTTTTGTTCATCGGTAGAATACAATTTGATGCTAAAGCTGAAGTAACATTAAGCGAAACAAACAAATTTACCAGCTGCTTGCGGCGAATGTTTTTTTCTTTTCTTTTTTTTTTTTTTTTTGTCTTTTTTTTTTGTTTTTGTTTTTTTGTTTTTGTTTTGTTTTTGTTTTACAAATTTAGTCAAAATATGCCATTACAGCGCTTTGTTTTTGAAGAAATAAGGCACTTAGAGTGTTTTGTCATTAGTGTAAACTGTTCTTTACATGACAATCTATTTTGGTCCTCCATTAAGTTTTAAATCAACACTTGTCATCTATAGAGGATGAAGAGCCTACACACCGCCGCACTAATCAAACAAGCCGACTTAGCAACCAACTACAGTTATGATATTATTGGGGAGACGTGTTTACGAAATAGTTGAAAATAACCAATAACAGCCAAATTGACCCTTGTGAGAGATTGTGCCTTGTTTGCTTTAGGACACGGCATTTAAGTTAAACATTAATGTCAAAATATATATCATTATACAACATGTGTTTAAATACTTGCATATACATGTATGCCTATATTTCTAAGCATAAGATGACATGTTGCATACTGAACATGTTTGTGATCTATAATGAATTCCAATTGTTTCACGTAAGGAGTGTTTTATATAACTGGTTATCCCTGGTTTAATTTCCAGGTGACAAATTCAGTCATAAGCGTCAAACTAAAACCCAGTTAAGGAAGAAATGATGTTTAGATGGACACTTTTTTTTTTAATTTCAAGAATGGGGCGACAAACTTTAATTTCTGGTATTGTGAACTAAGAATGAGAGAGTCAATCAACACAGTCATTATAGAAATGAGCACTTTTCTGATATTTAAAAGATATAGATATAACTGTAATAAAAGTGGAACGTTTAAAATGTCATGTGAGAAAGGCCATAGTTTATACCCCAATTCCTGTGACATAAACCGGCGAGGCAGACGATTTTTCGTTTCATACATCCAATTACCATTTTAGCATTTTGTCAGTGTAATAACATGTTACTACACATGTTTAATAAGAACAGGCAAAACTGAGATTGACTTCATTTTCACTTATTTTTTAAATTTTGATGTCATTACTTTATGCTTCATTTGCATTTTGATGTCATCAAAGAAAGATATACCTATTTTATAAATTGTCTGATGATCACACACAGATTTGATGTGTAAGAATCGTCTTTTATTTCATCACTCTTACCGTGTTATCAGAGCAATGACTTGTATTTTATAAATTGTCTGATGATCACACACAGATTTGATGTGTAAGAACCTTTCATTTCATCACTCTTACCGTGTTATCAGAGCAATGCCTTGTATTTTATAAATTGTCCGATGATCACACACAGATTTGATGTGTAAGAATCGTCTTTTATTTCATCACTCTTACCGTGTTATCAGAGCAATGCCTTGTATCTTATAAATTGTCTGATGATCACACACAGATTTGATGTGCAAGAACCTTTCATTTCATCACACCTACCGTGTTATCAGAGCAATGCCTTGTATTTTATAAATTGTCTGATGATCACACACAGATTTGATGTGTAAGAATCGTCTTTTATTTCATCACTCTTACCGTGTTATCAGAGCAATGCCTTGTATCTTATAAATTGTCTGATGATCACACACAGATTTGATGTGTAAGAACCTTTCATTTCATCACACTTACCGTGTTATCAGAGCAATGCCTTGTATTTTATAAATTGTCTGATGATCACACACAGATTTGATGGTTGAAGGCTCTCATGGTTTCAGTTGTGATGTCATTTCGTTAGGATGTGATATACATTACGACGCGATTTTAGAAGGCGATATCAAGTGAGAATATCAAAACAGATCTGTTTAATAAAATGCTTTGTCATGGATGCTCATGAAATTATTCAAGTGAAGTTATAAACATAATCTTACTTTCGTTTTAATTCCATACGAGATTTAAGCACCTGCACACCAATTATTCATCTTCATTCGCCACAGGCTCATTCACTGAGAAAATTAAAGACTCTCTCCATTGATCTCATATTAACTGAAAATCATGTCTGTCATAACAGCACAAAAATCAATTTAATGATGAAGATACTAATTAAAAGTTGTTGACGTCATATAAGTATAAAGAAGTATTGATTAGTGATGAATATAAGGGAAACACAGCACAAGATAAGAAATCAATAATGCGGGTTAATAAAACCAGTACGTCTTATACAATACTATCCGTGTGGGGATGTAATTGTGTTGGTCATTACGTGAAGATATATATATATACTGTATATTCATCACTATAAAGATATTGCATGGCATTGTTTCAACAACGTCTTGAAGCATTGAGGAAATTCTGGCGTTCTAACGATCAGAAAGTTGAAAATAAACACTTACTATCAATGTTTTGGTGCGATACGTGTTACATGGATA